AGGGACACGCCCTGAGGAGCGCAGGCATGAGCCTTTGAATGGAAAATATCCAAGGGAAACCAAAAATTATGTGGATCGGAGTGCTAAAATGGAGACGAATGTCCATGACGTATCGGGAATGGTGTTGAAATCCAACACACTAGTAAAAACAAAGAGGGCAACATTACGAGGGACAGAATTAAATCGACACACGGACTCGGCAAATGTGCATGTAATCGCAGAGAGAGCGAATGCCTCGAACCAAGGGTCAAAGTGGGTCGGGTGCGCGAATTCTGGTTATGTGCAGCACAATTTTTCACCACACACTCCCACGACACAGAGAGTGAGAGAAGAAACTACAAAAACGAACCCCGAAAACCGTGATCGAATTATCGAAGTGATAAGTGGTGAACGAGGCAACATGAGGAAAGTAACGCATAAATGCGTTCGAAACCGCTACCTAGCGTTTCCCAGGATTTAACAAAAACAAAAATGAATATTCGTCGGAGTCATGATGTATCAGAACCGATGTAACGCAATATCGATGTTTAACGCTTGTTTAATTTTCTTTGCTCAATTCAAAATAACCATGTTAAGTTGTGACACGTACGCGCGCGTTGTAAGGAATAGCAGCAAAACTTGAGGACAATCGATGGTTCATGATGGAAGAAGGGTATACATTTTTTTTAAAAATAACCCGTGGCCATTTGACCACTGGTCATTTTTAAAAGGGCGGAATGTTGTATACTAACCCTTCTTCCATAATTGAGATTAATAATATTTGATGATTTTTATATATTATCTTTTTACTTGTTTTTTTAATGAGTGAAACACACCAAGCGCAGCAAACTGCAAAACACCAGGTGTTGTTAAGTAATGAACCGGAGGAGGGCTAGGATGGCAGAATTTACAACGTTGCTTCAAGGGAAGATAAGGCCTGATGAACGGGCACATGTCACCCGTGCAGGCGGCAGAGACAGTGGGAGTGTCAGCCAGACATAGTTAAGGCAAAAGCCCAATCATCCTGCATGGTTTTAAAGTAACGTCAAAATTCGAAATTCAACAACAGAGTAGGCTAAATTATCGATCCTCGCGCTCGCTCAAACTGGAGACCAGGCTGCGAGCTACATCAATGAACCATTGCCCATTTGCTAATCCAATACTGAATGTTAATATTACTGAAGTCAAAACGAATTCTATGACCTCAGCACATGGGCAAATAATAGGGCAGTGTCGACTCAAAGGCAATGGAAGAAAACAGAGGCGCCTTTGTCTAAATCACAACCACAGAAAGCCAGGAATCATCACTGATTGTGTGTTCAGGAATTCCGAGCTAGTTAGAACACGTGCACAGGGGGGGAGCTGATGTAAACAACCCTGCGCGTCTGGATGTGAGGGGGCCTTTGACCTGAAAGTAAGAATAACACTCCCAGAGCAGAAGGTTGGATGACCACAGTGAGACGAGAATAAGAGTGGTGTATATCTCTCAAGGAGGCAGACCCAGCTGAACAACAAGGCTGCGGGGTCACCAGAAGTTCGCATTCGCCTAGTTAAGACAAAAAGCTCAATTATTCTGTATTGCTATTAAAGTAACGTTAAAGTCGGAATTTAACAACAGGGTAGGCTAAAGTTATCGATATTCACACCCACTCCAATTAAACCAGGCCACAAGTTACGCCTACTGAACCATCACCATTATTAAGTCAATATGAAATGTTATTTCCATACTTCAATACTTTCTATACAATTCGACCCGAAGCATATGACAATCAGAACCTTCCTAAGTCAAAATTGAATCGCACCCAGACAGGAGCGAATAGTCAATATAAGGTTGAAGAGGGAAGGAAATCAAGAGCACGGCGAACTGCAAACGTAAGCAAAAAGCCGGGAACAACACCAGCCCAGCAACAGCGAGTGGGGCTTCGACAGGCCATAAAGTAGAATAATAACTCCCGGGGTCAGGGGACACAAGAAGAAGCAGGCAGACAAAAACCAGAACTGACTCCAAGGTTCAACCGCCCTCACCTACTCAGGGGTGACGGAAATTAATGAGGCCTTGAATTAACGGCAGGCAACAACAACGGCGAGCAGAGATAGGGTGGGGCAAAGACTGCGGGCTATGGAATGCAACTTCGTGTCAGTAAAGCCCTGACAAACAAGTTAAGTTAAAGACATCACAATACATAATATCGCACATAACATCAATGTTAACGCTATTCACCGTAAACTATATTCCGCTTATATAACCATCCAGGCACCAAGGAATACGAATTCCTAGGATCAAGAAACTTACCCCTTAACCTAAGATATCGGGAATAAATTAATAGTAATAAGTATATGCATGAAAAGACAAAAGTAAAACTTATGGAAAAGCCAGGATAACGGGATGAATCACCACCAGGTCGAATATAAATACATAATAAAAAAAAAAACAATGTTAAACCCAGGGTCGGAGAGAAAGGGAGATCCCGGCCGTCTTTGTATCCCCGCAGCGCGGGATAGGAGTGTGTGTACGCTCGGGGAAACACCTACACTTGGGTCGGGAACCACGATGGGAAACGACAGACCTTAGGTTACATACAGAATCATAACTGTGAAATAGTAAGGGACAAATGTTAACTTAAAACTTTTAACCATTTCTTTGTGCGCCGGGTCGGAGAGAGTGTTGCCCCCCTCCAGGTTGTGCAACACGAACAAAGACGCCTATGAGACGATTTGTAACGTCTGTGTTTTGGGTTCATGAAGAAGGCCAGACAAGAGATAAATTGCACCCAGACAGAGAGACGACTTCGAGACAATTTGTAACATCTGGTTGTTTGCTCGTGGGTTTTATGGAGGGAGTTGACAACGGAATATACCGTCAGTGATGCACACAAGGACATACGGACACACACATGGACACACCTGCCTACGGACAGATCCTGACACAGCAAAAATCGGAAGCCCCGCCTTGTGGGCGGGATCCAGGGGGATTTTTCAGCATAAAGGAACGGATCCTGAACATTGGAAACCAGTGCGACGGGAGGGTCCACTCAGAAGCTCGACCGGGAGGGTCGACTCAGGAACGAGTGCGACGGGAGGGTCCACTCAGAAGCTCGACCGGGAGGGTCGACTCAGCAGGAGTGCGACGGGAGGGTCCACTCAGAAGCTCGACCGGGAGGGTCGACTCAGGAACGAGTGCGACCAGAGCGGGTCCACTCAGGAGTGCGACCAGAGAGTCGACTCAGGAGCGAGGGCGACCAGCGGGTCGACCCAGGAGCGAGCTCGACCGGGAGGGTCGACTCAGGAGCGAGCTGCGACCAGCGGGTCGGCTCGACTCATCTTCAGCTCGTCAATCTCTGCTGCCGCCGGAGATCTCCGCTGCCGCCGGTGGTGAGCGTCGCGACTTGGCGACGATCCAGCGCTGCACGCTACGAGCGAGTTGTGGGCGCCACCTACCGACCGGGTTCCGAACTGCGACAGCGTATCAACAGCCATCCGAGCAATTCACCACGGTGACAGGGGAGCGCCTGATACGTATGACGCGCACCGCCCCCTCACCACACGACCACCAGGCGTCTGTTTGACATAAAGAATCGACTCCGAACACTGACTATTCAAGACAACTCTTACCACTCAAACACTCGAACCCATAAGTCATCCGTGGCTGGGAAGGCATCACAACGAGACCGAGTGGTGGCCATCCGTCGTATAAGAGTATTCTTAATTTTTATCTTTAATATTTAGTGGGCTGTACTCTTAATCGCATAAATTCCCAACAGATCCATCAATACGAACTGATTCTTGGCACCTCCTTCCGCCGAGCCACGCTCACGTGGGGAGTGGTGGCCCACCGGATCCTTATCAGGTGATCTGGTCCCCAATTAGTAAACTTGGTATAAGATAACGATCTTCGGAAAAGGAGCACCGTCGCAGGCCCTTACTCCGAGCCGTTCTGCTGTCAGATAACCTGCCGATGTATCTGTTGAGATTGGTGCCTTTAAGAATAGTAACTGTTTTGATTGTGTTTTTTTTTTTTCGCCGTATAATCTTTCAAGTATCCTTCAGTCATAATCGCCGCACGTACTCGCATCCTCTACAGAATATTCAACTGTCCCGTGACCCAAGGTGTTAACAACGTGATAAGGGTTGCGTATGATCAATAAGGAGTGCGGTACTGCGTGAACAATATTGAGTATAATCATTCATTAACGTTAAGGTTTTCTTAGCATAGTATTTGCATGTTTTAACGACTCTCTCTCTCACTAACAACCATCGCGTTATGCGGGATCCATGTGCAGTTGTCAAGTGAAATCAGACAATCGTTGATGATACTGTATTGATGCCGTATTGACGTTCCGGGATTGAGAGTTCGCATACTATATCATAGTTAAGGTTGAATTAGTAATAAATTGATCAATACAGAAGTGGTTGTGTGATTCTTTCCTGAAATCTATGCATAAGATCTGCTTCTGCGTTGAGATTTGAACTTGGTGACCTTAATAAACACACTAATACATACTCAGTAAATGTTAAAGCGATAACGGGGTGAACCGGGGTCTGGTTATCATAACGACTTGCGTTATCATAATTACACCCACTCGCATAATTAATACGATTACCTCTCGAATTGGCATAATTAAAATGTGCGTAATTACATAATTAACATATTTCCGGATAATTACACATTTGGCCAAATTTCATTAATTATTATTATTTCCACTGAATATTCATAACCCACACATACAACATAATAATTTCACCCACGCACGCATACAACATAACAAATTTTCATAACCAACATATACAACAACGGGTATCGGGTACCCGGTTGTGACCTCTGACGGTCGCCCACGGTCGGCTGCATCTTCCGAATCCGAACCGAGTCAAATGTGGATACCACAGAGCGACTGCGATAGTTAAAAAATGAGAACTTAGAAAGGAGGCCAGGCCTTCGGCGGTGGGGGGGCGGGGGGAGCATTCGATGCCTCCCCGGGCAAAAGACGCGGAAGTGCGGTGGGAAAAAGGTGGAGGCGGCTCACCGCGATGTTGGAGGCGATCACGTCCGGGTCATCGCAGAGCGACTCCACGAAGAGCAGCTAGAACAGAGGGACAGGCGACGCGCGTCGGTGACATCGTCACGTGATCACAGGCGCAGGGCCCTGCAACCGCTTTGTTCACGGCCACCGCTGGCGGAAGAGCCACCCCTTCCGCCCCCACTAGAGGGTGTTTGGTCTACTCTTCCACGCTGGACGGACATACGCGAAGAAGCTTGTTGCAGAGGTTTGAGGTTCCAAACCAGCAGGCCGTCCTGGTTAATAAAATACTATGTCCTTTGGAATAATGCGCTATATGAATCTAGATAAGATGCGTTTCACAGTGGATGTTAAACATCCCGTGATGTCATTTGAAACAAAAAATGTTGACCAAATATGGGGATTTTTTTAAGTTACACTGCAAATTACTCAATTGAGACACGCACAGCAATCATCACCCAGTCTTGAGACTCAGCGAGGCTTCACTGGGTAAACAAGCGGGTACATAACCACTAACGACTCGACCCACAGCCAATGACTTCGCCCATCGCCAACGGACTCCCCCTGTGACCAACTCACCTTGTAGCCGCAGTCGTGACAGAAGTTGATGATCATGTCTCTACGCTCCCTCGTCGTGTTGGTGGCATCAAACACCTACACACACACACGCGTGCACACACAACAACAGCCGCCGTTCGCCACTAAGTGGTGGTGACATCGCCACGGCGGTTGTGACAGGCTAGGTGCACAGTGAGGTCATGTGACGTGCGGAAGGCTTGCGGCTGGCAGGACAGACCCAGGTGCCATGGGTTGACTCACTGAAACCATCCGACTCATCAGCCTTGCCCGCATCCCTCCACCGATGTTCATATTTGGTAGGGGAATTCGCCACCACTTTCATTCCTTGCCTCCATTGATGAGATGAGCCCACAGTAGCCTGGGGATTCACAGCTTCCCACACCATCCCAACACGCTCCCCATTCCCTCTTCATTAGTTAAAGTTGTTTGGCAGTTTCCTGCGCTAAGCGGAGGACTGTCCGACCCCTCAGTTACTGGAGCCAGAACCACCCCACCAGACCTCCTGTATCCCACGGAGTTCCAGGCAACACCGGTCCAGCTCCTGACAAAAGAATGGAAGCCTCTCCTCTGGGGGTGGGTTCAGTGTCCAGGCGCCTGTCCCCTCCCCGTGGGGCCTCCAGCACAAGCGAACGTTCATCTTATTTTTCTGTTGTTCTTTTTTGGTAGTTTCATTGAAGGTGGACGAGTTACCAGCACCCCATCACACCTATCCAGGGCCCTTGCTGGCCACTGCGGTGGCTGCCAACACGCCATGAGCGTAAACAGCTGTTTAGGATCAGCCTTCCCCCCCCCCAATGGCATTGCTCACAGCACACAACCACCGCCACACACGCACACAAAGATAAAGATAAAGATCCCCCGTATAGCCTGAACAGACTGTAGGGGCAAGTACTGTTAGTGAGCACCTATGAAGGCCAGAACGGCGCACGAGGGGGTGGGTGGCCAGCACCACGCCCGACCGCCTTTGTCTCCCCAGTGGCGATGTTTACATACCGCACCAGGTACTCGTTTCAGACCGAGTCGACCTAGGGGAGGCCCAGGACCGGTTCAGATAATCGTCACTGGTGTTGGCCGTGAGCGGGAATCGAACCCGGGCTGCCAGGTTCATAGCGCAGCGCGCTAACCGCTACACTACCGCTCCCCACGCACATACAAACACATACACACGCACACGCTGTGACGGTGTTGTGACGGTGTTGTCATGGTTTCACGATGGATTCATGATGGAGTTGTGACGGTGTTGTGAACGTGTTTAGACGATGTTTGAATGGTTTTATAATGGTATTGTGAGGATGCTGTGACGGTATTGTCATGTGTTTCATGATTGAGTTGTGATGGCGTTGTGATGGGTGTTGTGATGGATTCACGATTGAGTTGTGATGATGTCGTGAAGGTGTTGTGATGATATATTAATGGTTTCATGACAGTTTTGAGACGGTGTTTTGATGGTGTTGTGATGGCATTGTGATGGCATTGTGATGGATTAATGCTAAGAGTTGTGACGGTGTTATGAAGGTGTTGTGGCGATGTTTTAATGGTTTCATGACAGTGTTGACACGGCGGTGTGGTGATGTTGTGATTGTTTCAGGATGGAAGTTAGTTGTGATGGTGTCATGATAGTGTTATACTGGTAGGAACCTCCTGGTAACACCAGCCCACAGGGGATTATTGTGTCCATCCGTCGTGCAGGGAGGGGCTGGGTGGGGAGGGAGGGGCTGGGTGGGGAGGGGAAGGTGGGGAGGGTGGGGCTGGGTGGGAGGGGTGGTGCTGGGTGGGGGGGCTGGTCACCCCGTGGTGCCCTTATAAAACTCAACGTTTAACCTACTCACGCCGGCTTGTGCCCGCCCTCACAGTCGGCCATATTTGCGGAATACACCACGCCGCCGTTGACCCTGGCCATTGACCGAGCAACCCAACGTTCCTACCAGCTCCCTCCGCAGGAATGTGTTATTCTTTTCTTAACAATGTTGTGATGGTGTTGTGATGGTGTTGTAATGGTGTCTTGACGCCTCCTCTCACCGCCACGTGGCCCTGCTGCTCATCGATGTATCTCCTCGCGTCTCTCAGAGCGGCCTGGGCACACTGCCTGCAGCACAACAAACACACACAACCACCCACATCATCACCGTCAGCGGCAGCCATTATCTATGCACCGCTGGATTAAGGTTTCCCAACGCCATCAACATCCCCCAAACGTCTCTTGGACGTGTTTCCACCTTTGGCTGCCGCTCCTTTCGCAGGCTCAACCACCAGCAATCATCCCTTCTGGGGCGTCCAGCCCAAGCTTCACGCTCGCTGCTCTTCAGAGTCAAACGCGACGATGTCTCGGACCTGCATGCGATCTCTAATCCGCGTGCCCGTCTCTTCCCGTCTCGCAGCGTCGAATTTCGAGCATGCACTGCGCTTTTGCGCGTCCAAGTGAAATAAAGTTACAGCGACACCTCGACTTTTGTCCACTTGACTTTCGTCGCTTCGCTCTTTTCGGCCGTTTTCAACTATCACCACATTTCAAATTTGGTCCACGCGGCTTTCCTTTCGTCCGATTTCATCCCCAAACCTTCCCCGACGTTCGCACCACGCGCCGTCTTTTTTCGTTCAGTCTTTGCATAGAAGTCGTTCAGCGAGCATCTTAATTATAAAGCAGGAACGACATCCGTTTGTTCGTGTGAAGCAGCAAAAACTCTCGAACGCTGAGCTCTGGCGTCATGAAATTTGCACAGCTTATGCTGTCTGGAATTTCTCGCTACGTCATTCCCTTCCCACGTAATGTCGATTTTGGCAACTCGGGAAGGGAATGACGAAGAGAGCTGAAAATGACGTTAGAGCTCAGAGTTCGAGAGTATTCGCTGCTTCACACAAACAGACAGACGTATTTATGTTTATAATTAAGATGTGAAATTAATCAACGACAAGAATCCAAGTCCTGGGCGAAGCCGGGTAGTAAAGCTCGTCTCTTATATTTGTGTTTAGACATATTATTAATACTGTACTTATTTCCGCGATTATACTGGAAACAATTCACAGTTATTTTTGTGATAACAGTATATTACTACAGTGTTCATAGTTATTTTCGTGATTATAAAACAGGTGTACAGTATTCATACTGTGCTTATTTTCGTAATTACTGTAAATTATTTTTTTTCCTTATTTATTTAGTCTGGTTTATTTATTCTTATATTAATTTTTCTTTATTTCTGTTCATTTAGGTTTCGCACGCATGTGTTATATACTTACTGTAGTGACTTGCATGTACGTTTTTATATTTATTGTAGTTATTTGCATGTACGCTTTTCGCCGACGAAAATAAATTTGCAAGCTAAATAAAGGCTCTCATTTGACATTAGTAATTTTTTTGACATTCGTCCATGCTCTGGTCCCTAACCAGACGAAAGTGCACGGCATTCCTGTATCACGTTTCTTTCTAATGCTTTCCCACCAACGTTGACAGCATGAATGCCTCCGCTCCATCGGTCTGCAAAGGCGTGCGGAAGGGGGCGGTGTTGGGTGGCTCGATAACTCTTGTGGCGTTGATCCAACACGAAAAAAACTTTGGTGCGAAGCGGCGCGGCTATTCTGGACTCGCCAACGGGCAGCACCCTCGGTGTGCCCTCGGTGAGTCGAACACCGCACCGCCGGAGACGAGCGAGCGTTGAGAAACACTACGACATGGAGTTCGATAATTGATTTTTTACCCTTCTATCTGGCAACAAAACTGACACCTTTTTTTACAAGGAGTCATGTTTGCATTGACCACAATACCTGCAGTCATAATGCAAACAAAAAACATAACTCTGATAATGTATGCACTGTCCTTGAAGTTGATTGGTCCACACCCGAGACAGCTTTCCTTAGAGCCCAGTCTCACATGGTGTTGGACCAGATGACGCCAAAAGGCGCACAACTCAAAGACAATGCACCATCAGAGTATGAGAGCTCGGGGTAAGCATTTACACCATTGGATGTGGACCAATCAACTTCAAGGACAGTGCATATATTATCAGACTTATGGCTGCAGGTATTGTGGTCTATGCAAACATGACTCCTTGTAAAAAAAGAAAAGGTGTCAGTTTTGTTGCCAGATAGAAGGGTAAAAAACAATTATCATATTTTTTTACTGGCAAATGAGGTTCCAATGGTGACAATGAGTTCATTTATTTATTTTAGCCCCGAACTGGTTCTTAAATTCGAAACAAACATCGCGTGACTACGACGGCGATGGGCGAGCAAGGCCCTCACCTCCTGATCTGCATCGCCTCCTCGTTCTTCTGCTCGAAGAACTCGTGGGACTTGTAGCAGCGCACCGCCTCGCGCCGGTACTCGCCCACGTTAAACACTGCGGACACGAACACACACACACTCACTCGGGTGAGACACTCACACACACACACACACTCGGGTGAGACACTCACACACACAGCGCCATCTTCCCCCTCCCTCCCTCACTCCATCCCCCCCTCCCTCCCTCCCTCACTCCATCCCCCCCTCCCCCCCTCCCCCCCTCACTCCATACCCCCCTCCCCCCCTCACTCCATACCCCCCTCCCCCCCTCCCTCCATCCCCCCCTCCCTCCATCCCCCCCTCCCTCCATCCCCCCCTCCCTCCATCCCCCCCTCCCTCCATCCCCCCTCCCTCCATCCCCCCCCCACCATCCACCCCTCCCTCCCTCCCTCCATCCCTCCTCCCTCCCTCCCTCCCTCCATCCCTCCCTCCCTCCATCCCCACCCTCCATCCCTCCATCCCCCCCATCCCCCATCCCTCCCCCCATCCCCCCATCCCCCACCTCCATCCCTCCACTCCATCCCCCCCCCACCCCCAGGCAAGCATTGTAGCCAGCCGGCGGCCTCACCGCGCGTCGCCACGCCGACCCAGTTGAGGTAGCGCGTCAGCTTCTTGGCGATGTAGGTCTTCCCTCGCGCCGGGAGGCCGACCATGGCGATCAGCATCGGCGAGTTGGCGAGCAGCGGCAGACATGCTGGGCAGGGGCAAGGCAGAGGTCAACGTCGGGGTCACGGTCGGCATCATCAGTGCCGTTACCGTGAAGCATAAACCATGAACTATTTGCAGGCCCAAGTCAATCCACTACCGGTTGAAGGTCTCCCCCCCCTTCCCCGCCCTCCCCCCCCCCCGTATCATGTCGGTCAGGGTAGTTGTTTGACCATACTTCGCCACACTGGTCATTGCGTGTGGTGAAGGGAGGCGGGGAAAACCCAGGACCAGGTTCAGATAGCCCTCGCCCACCGATGTTAGCCGCGTTGCCAGGAATTGGATTCGGAGCCACGCGTGGTGAACCGGGTTACAGGCAGACAGCTGTCAACCCATTTAGTTTACTCCGTATTCTTGTACAGGGAAGTTTCGTTTTTAGGTCTATACGGCGAACAGCCTTTTAAATATGGGCAAAAAAATGTGTTTATTTGTTTGTGTTTCTCCCTTGTGATGGGACTTTGTAGGATGAACGTTGAGATGTATAAGGGGCACGGGGTCAAAAATAAAGTCTGAATTGGTCTGTAACAAGGCAGGCAGCACTGCTGAAGGGTCGGCAGGTATGGGCACACCTCGCGTAACACGACCCCGCAGAAACGCCGATTCGTGACGGCGCTCTTTGTACCCGAGAATATGTAAATTAAATAAAAATAAAAAATAAGCTTGTCTGTGTGCCTCAAGAGTCACGCTCATTAGTGCCCGCCAGATATTTGTGCGCGCTACAAATTGCATTGTTGTTACACGAGACCAAGAGGATGATGGGCGAGTGTGAATGGGATCGAAGCAGAGTAGGGGGAGGGTGGGACCCATCGTGATTCATAAACCAGGACCCTCAGCAGTGCTAGCTCAGTGTATCCCCACAGTCGTTACGAGCGCCGTGTGAGAGACGCAGAGAGAGAGAGACGCAGAGGGCTTCACGGGCCTCCGCTAAAAATCTGCCGCGGGTGACGCGCACACGCAGACGTTGGCGCGCCCGTGCGAACGCGCACGGGACCCAGGGCCGACGAGCACCAAGCCACGTCCACCTCTCGGGCAAACGGTTCCACTCGACGAGAGTTGGAGACTCTCTCTCTGTGTCCATTGAAGGGTTAATGCACTCAAAAGAGAAAAAACACAACAGCCGCTAAAGGGAAGCATACACCGTCTGCCTCCCGATAGCATCATCACGCCCACCAGTCATCTTGTCCCGCGGCTTGGAAAGACGCCCGGAGCGAGGGCTTGAATACTGAACCGGCATTATTCGAGGGTGCTGGCTGAGAGACACGGGGCCATTATGAACCCCTAACCTCACAGTTGTCCGTCTCAGCGAGGCCGGCTGCTCAAGAGAACGACGCCCAGACTCGGGGTCTCGAGCCTTGAAACGCGAATCTCAGCGGTGCCGGCTCCGTGTGGTTGACACGGCCATTGTGAACCTCAACGACAGCGAGAGACACCCACACCCAGGGGCCCCGAACGAGGAATCTCTCTGCGACGGTTCACCGCTGCGTGGCCGAAAAGCGCCGAATATCGCAAAAGGACGCGGCTGTGGCGTGGGTAATTGGCCGAGCTCTCCCCTTCACCCCCCCCCAGACTCCCACTCAAGCCCTCCCCTCGAGCCCCCCCATCCACCCACCCACCCAACCCACCCCCGCCCCCCCCAAACTGAGCGCGTGCGAGCACGTAGCCCACGTAGACGAAATTTTCTCATTTTAAAAGAATTCAACATCAGTGGCGGCGGCGCTAACCCCCCACCCCCCCGCCCCCCCCCCCATGCGGATTGCTCGTCTATTTATTTATTTATTTCCCCTTTAACACGATGCATATGGGCTTCAACGGCATTGCTTTGTTAAAGACGCATTGATAAATATAGAGCACCGCCACCATCATCAGCCACGATCAATTTACTGCTGGACGAATGCATCCCCAAGCCGTTATGTATTCACACACCACACACACACGCGGTGACCGGTGATGCGAGCTGATCTGCGTGCGTGCGTGTGTGTCTGAGCTGTGATGTCTGCGGTTGTTGCTATGCGTGACGGTGCCTGTGTTTGTACGCGCGCGCGCACACACACACAGTGGTGGAAATTTCAATGTGGAAGTGTCGGTAGGAGACATTCTGCCAAAGATCCCCCCCCCCGTATAGCCATTCACAGACTGTCGTGGCAAGTGCTGTTAGCGAGCACCTATGAAGCCCGGCACGGCACACGAATGGGGTTGGGTGGCCAGCACTACACCCGGCCACCTTTGTCTCCCTAGTGCTGACGTTTCATGCACCGGACCAGGTACACATTTGAGGCCGAGTCTACCTAGGGGAGGCCCAGGAACGGTTCAGATAATCGCCGCTGGCGTTGATGGCCACGAACGGAAATTGAAGCCGGGTCGCCGGGTTCGCAGCGCAGCGGTGCAGCCCGCTACGCCCACGCTGCTCACGAGGACCTCACACACGCGCAGCCATTTCCCGTCTGCCGAGGCCTCGCCGTCCACGGCACAGGACACGTTCGGCATCGTGCCGGTTCACACGAGGAGCCGGTATACCGCGTGTACCGGCACATTGACACCAGCGGCATACATAGTGACACGCGCGCGCGCGCGCGCACACACGCGGTGACCGGCGATGCGAGATGATGCGTCTGTGGGGAGGGGAGAGTGGGAGGGGAGAGAGGCTGAGCCGATGCCTGTGGTCGTGTGGGACGTGCAGCTCGGCACGACGTGCATGGAGGCACGGCGAGTTTCATCTTTTCAGGAATAAATAAATAATAACTAAATAATATATATCTTTTTTAAACCCAACAAAGTCACACTCGGCCACTCGGCAGTGACCAAACCCAACATTCCCCGTCCACGAATTGACGAGCGAGAAACGTGGGTTTCCAATGCGCGACTCGCCCTGGGGAACATCGCGTGGGTTTTACATCGCGGGAAATCCGCTTCAAGCCCGGCAAGGTGCGGCAGGCAGCACTCCACACCTGGATCGGGAATCGCGTGCCGTGAGGAGGAACCACGGGGTGTTGGGAGAGATCCAGCCATGAGCGATGCGGTCAATCCGGTCATCCTCTGTGGCAGCCGCGTTTTGGCTTTAACTGTCGAACAAACACGGGCACTGGCATCGCGCGGTTTCAAATGCGCTTCTGCGGCCGTCTGGAATGCTCTTCCTACCGATATTAGGAAGCCGTTGGGTTGCAAACTCATTTCTTTGGAAGTGCTTTTTAGGTTTAGTTTGTTGTTCTTCCCCCATATATCTACAAATATCACTGTTGGCTACGTGCGGTGTGAAAGAAGTTCAACATACGTACACACCTGCTGCTACACAAGCCGGACTCCGCTGTTGAGATACTGAAAATCAAAACCGGTCCATACAATCCGTTGCCTTTTCCCAGTTGGCGAATTGCAGATTACACACCCACCCACCGTCTTCACGTGTATATTGTAAACCGTCTATAAACACATACATACATTTGTATTTATATCGTCAGCAACAATCAACAAGATCAATCCACTGCTTGGAGGATGTATGTTTGTTGAACTTATTTTGCACCATACGTAGCCAACCGTGCGGCTGATTGATTGATTTCAGCTCGTAAGTGACGTCTGACTCAATCGTATCACAAAAAGTATTTCTTTCAACTCGCAACTCAAAAACAAACCCCAGCATCCATCATCAGCTCTGGTCGCCACCTCTCCCACTTGATGCCAAACCCTCACAGAGTTCTCACGCTGCCTAGGTCAATTAATTATCAACACTGCAGTGAAAATGCAATAAAGTTTAACACAGTGCCACCAGATATCAGGAACAACTCAATGCCTGCCACTATTGGTACACCGATGCCAATTCCTGGACAGAAGGCAACCAGATCATCAGCGCTCATCACTCCACTGCTAGATGAATAAGGCCTCCCACCATCCCCCATGGTTCTGCGTTACAACAATCACCGCGCCTGGCTTCCGCGCATGAGCTCATTTCGTCGCTCCATCTCCACGGCGCACGTCCCTTCTAGCGCTGCAAGAGCGGCAGCGTTGACCACGCCACGCCGGTTGGTTTTACAAGAAAGGGCCCCCGGGTTCCGGTGGCGAATTCCGAGAAAAGGGCCCGCTCTGCTGAATTGCTAACGTGCAGTGCAGTGTGGGTGTTTCTGCGAAATCTCAAAACCCTCAAGAACCGAGGCCGTGTCAAAGGTCACGGGGCAGGAACCACACAGCCAGGGCCGCCACGGTGGCGAGGCATTAACTACCTCGCCTGGTATGCAGGAGGTCGTGTGTTCGATCCCGACCCTGACGCCTGCTGTTGTATATTTGGAGTTTGCGTGTCGCTCTCCCTGTGGTCGCGTGGATTTTTCTCCAGGTCCTCCGGTTTTTCCCTCCACATTTAGAATCAACATCATGCGTTTTGAGTATTTGGCTGCTGTACATTTCCACATAAGCCACTTCGTTGAGCTATCATTTGTGGCCAGGTCACTTCTGAAAAGAGCTGTATTGCTCAGAAGGCCTTACCTGGTAAAATACAAAGAGTTTAGGGATCTGTCCCTCCACATAAAATATATACTTTTCCACCTCATCAGCCACAAGGCCTTCTGGCTAATTATATCACGAGATATTATGATTATGATTACGGTTGTTTATCCAGAAAAGCCTCACCGAGTCTCATGACTCGCTTTCCGGAGGGTCCTGCCAAGTAAGTTTTGGCAATAAACGGGTTGCTGTTTATTAATAATCCCAAACTGAGAAATGTGCAGGCAATTTCCGAATTTGGACCCAGACGCCGGTACACACGATTGCCTCCTCTTGCGAATGATACCGGGGGAGACCTTTGACTGCGAATCAGATGGCGCTTAGTAGCAATCGTACTATTATAATGGCTAATACAACCCGAGTAAAAATAAGGGCGGCCGCCAAATTCCAACCGTGGACGTCTGTATAGCAAGCGGTGCACGAGCTACCCGCTAGGCCGCGTCACCTGTAGTGACCATCGGCATCAGCCATGGTCAGTCCACTGCTGGATGAAGGCCTCCCGAAGCGAGTTGAGTAAATATTAAGTACGACCGTGGCAAGAGAAGCCGTGGTAGTAGCGATAAGAGGGTGATAAGGAGTGACCCACACCTGTCAACCCCTCATCACTGCCCTACCTTGTTACAGACCAACTCACACCTTACAGGTCACCCCGTGGTGCCCCCTTTATAAATCTCAACGTTCATCCTACAAAGTACAATCACAAGGGAGAAATTCTAGATTTGAAGCTTTCGTGACTGCAAGGATTCATACTCTTGGGTTTTTTCGGTAAAGTCACGTAGGCAAAAAAGAAATAATGAATAAAAATTCTAAAAATAATAGAAATAAAATAATAAATCACAAGGGAGAAACACAAACAAAAAGACGCGTGTTTTTCTCGTTGCCCGAATTGAAACGGCAGCACGCCGTAGTGAACCTGAAAGACTCAAATTTCCCCGTACAAACGAGCAAGTGGGGGGGGGGGGGGTCACACCGTAGGGGTTAACAGTGGCCACGCTGACCGTGGTAAGTGAGAGACAGACAGACAGAGAGAGACACGGAGAGAGACAGACAGAGAGACACACTGAGAGAGACAGACAGAGAGAGACACACGGAGAGATACAGAGAGAGAGACACACGGAGAGAGACACACGGAGAGAGACAGAGAGAGACACACACGGAGAGAGACAGACAGAGAGAGACACACGGAGAGAGACAGACAGAGAGAGACACACGGATAGAGACAGACAGAGAGAGACACACGGAGAGAGACACACGGAGAGAGACACACGGAGAGAGACACACGGAGAGAGACACACGGAGAGAGACACACGGAGAGAGACACACGGAGAGAGACACACGGAGAGAGACACACGGAGAGAGACACACGGAGAGAGACACACGGAGAGAGACACACGGAGAGAGACAGACAGAGAGAGAGACTTACGGAGAGAGACAGGCAGAGAGAGACAGGCAGAGAGAGACACACGGAGAGAGACAGAGACAGACAGAGACACACGGAGAGAGACAGACAGAGAGAGACACACGGAGAGAGACAGACAGAGAGAGACACACGGAGAGAGACACACGGAGAGAGACACACGGAGAGAGACAGAGAGAGACACACGGAGAGAGACACACGGAGAGAGACAGAGAGAGAGACACACGGAGAGAGACATCCTCGCACGGCAAACACTCACATCTTGGGGGCGCGACTCCGGGCAGATCACTGGGCAGCCAAGTCTTCTGCACGGGGCTCTGAAACAGATCTCTTGGCATGGCTACGCACGTGTCTGCAGCCTGTGTCTGTAGCCTGAGTCTTCAGTATATTCAGAATGTGTCTTCAGACTGTGTCTGCAGCGTGTGTCTGCAGTATCTGCAGTGTGTGTGTCTTCAGTGTCTGCAGTGTGTCTTCAGTATCTGCAGCCGTTGTCTGCAACCTGAATCTTCAGAATCTGCAATATCTTCAGCCTGATTCTTCAGAATCTGCAATATCTTCAGCCTGATTCTTCAGAATCTGCAATATATTCAGCCTGAATCTTCAGAATCTGCAATATCTTCAGCCTGAATCTTCAGTATCTGCAATATCGTCAGCCTGAATCTTCAGTATCCGATGTGTATCTGCTGTATATTCAGCCTGTACCTTCAGCCTGAATCTTCAGTATCTGCAGTGTGTATCTGCTGTACGTATCTGCAGCCTGAATCTTCAGTATATGCAATATCGTCAGCCTGATTCTTCAGTATCTGCAATATCGTCAGCCTGAATCTTCAGTATCCGATGTGTATCTGCTGTATATTCAGCCTGTACCTTCAGCCTGAATCTTCAGTATCAGCAGTGTGTATCAGCAGTATCTTCAGCACGTATCTTCGGTATCTGTAGTGTATCAGCAGTATCTTCAGCACGTATCTTCAGTGTATATCAGCAGTATCTCCAGCGCGTATCGTATCTATCATCGGTGTGTATCTTCAGCACGTATCTCATGCATCTCCAGCGTGTGGCTTCGGCAACCCTCTCAAGTTCACACGTTAAAGTGCCTCGAAAGCCCAACCTCTGGGGACTCCACCACGCATCTCACGTACCACCCACACACCCAGCCAGCCTACCGCAGCAAGTAGCCCGCGTGCCCGCACTCCGGCTACTGGGACGTGTCGCGGCGTGGTGTAGAATGCGCACGTGTGTGTCCACGTGTGTGTCCGTGTGTGTCCACGTGTGTCCACGTGTGTGTTCGTGTGGTGTGTAAGTGTGTGTACACTGTGTGTGTGTGTACACTGTGTGTGTGTGTACACTGTACACTGTGTGTGTGTGTACACTGTGTGTGTGTGTACGTGTGTGTCCGTGTGTGCACGTGTGTGCACGTGTGGGGTGTGTGCACACTGTGTGTGGGTGTGTGTACAGTGTGTGTACACTGTGTGTGGTGTGTGTGTGTGTACACTGTGTGTGTGTGTGTACACTGTGTGTGTACACTGTGTGTGGGGCGTACACTGTGTGTGTGTGTACACTGTGTGTGTGTACACTGTGTGTGTGTACACTGTGTGTGTGTGTACACTGTGTGTGTGTGTACACTGTGTGTGTGTGGGGGAGTGGCAGGGAGTGCGGCTTGCCGAGTCGTCTGGTTGAGTGCGCCGCGCGTGTGAATGCCGTCGGCTTTCGAGCGCGTCCACCGGCACGAGGCTACGGGAGTCGGCGACGCATCGCTCGCTCCACCCTTATATAGGGGCCCTGGCTCCACCCCCTCCACCCCCTCCACTCCCTCGCTCCACCCCCTCCACTCCCTCGCTCCACCCCCTCCACTCCCTCGCTCCACCCCCTCCACCCCCTCGCTCCACCCCCTCCACCCTTATATAGGGGCCCTGGCTTACCCCCTTTACCCCCCTCGCTCCACTCCCTCCGCCCCCCCTCCCTCCCCCCCGCCCCCCCTCGCTCCCCCCCGCCCCTCCCCTCGCTCCCCCCGCCCCCCCCCCTCGCTCCCCTCGCTCCCCCCGCCCCTCCCCTCGCCCCCCCCCTACCCTCGCTCCCCTCGCCCACCCGCCCCCCTCGCTCCCTCCGCCTCTCGCTCCCTCCGCCCCCCTCGCTCCCTCCGCCCCCCTCGCTCCCTCCCTCTGAGACCCCCTCCCTCTCCCGCCCTTACAGGGTCCACCCCCTGGCTTTCCTCCCTTACATAGCCCCCCCTCCCTCCATTATTGCTCCCCTCCCTCCCTTATTGCTCCCCCTCCCTTATAGCACCCCCTCCCTCCCTTATAAGACCCCCCCCCCCCCCTGGCTTTCTCCCTGACAAGGATTCCTCTACTTACGAACACTCGACTTAGGAACGTTTAGAGACACGAACAAAACTGTGCGCATGTCCAGTCGCCCGTTAGGACCGCGAGTCGTAAGTTCAACCGCCACGCAATAGATGGCTGTGGTGACATCGACATCTGCAGAACGTGAAAAACCAGTGGCATCTATATCTGTAGAAGGTGAAGAACCAGTGGCATCTACATCTGCAGAACATGAAGAACCAGTGGCATCTACATCTGCAGAACGTGAAGAACCAGTGGCATCTACATCTGCAGAACGTGAAGAACCAGTGGCATCTACATCTGCAGAACGTGAAGAACCAGTGGCATCTACATCTGCAGAACGTGAAGAACCAGTGGCATCTACATCTGCAGAACGTGAAGAACCAGTGGCATCTACATATGCAGAAGGTGAAGAACCAGTGGCATCTACATTAACAGAATATGAAGAACCAGTGGCATTTATTTCTCAAGGAGATTATACAACTTTTAAAGCCATTCCCCGTGTTTAGTGTACATGCCATACAGCATGTTTGAAATCGACAGGAGTAAAGTTGTACTTACAAACTAATCGACTTACGAACACCTCTGGAACATAACTTGTCTGTAAGTAGAATCGCCACTGTATATCGGGCCCGACCCATCGCTCCCTCATTTATACGATTACAACATTCGCGACTAAGTGGCGGTTCTGTGCACTCCGAGGCCCATGTGAAGTGTCGAAGGCTCGCTCTGACAGGTCACGGAACAGCAGGTGCCATGGTGTTAATTGACTTGATATGACTGGCAGATGCACCACCTGTGCCCCCCTACTGTGCCAATTCGCTGCATTTTAGCCGGCCGGCGCTCCATTCGTTGTGAGCATTGCTCCTCCGCTCTCCGTTGTTGTTGGAGGGCGACTGCCTCCAACTGCCCAGTAGCAGCGTTCTTCACGAGCCTCCTCCACAGGCTGATCTTGACACCGCTGGTACCGGTCATTGGCAAGTCCACTCAGCTCCACATCCTCCTGTACCACATCACTCCATCTCTTCTCCATCCTGTGGATGCGTTTCTCCCCCACTATCGTGCGCACACGCATGAGGGTTCCTGTACAACCGCTCGGAGGTTGATTGGTTTGACCCATCGCTGTACGAACATGTGTTACCCCTGAGTACGTTCCTTCGGAGTGGGCAGGTAAGAACTTGGTTGGACAGCGCATTCGTGCGATCCGTGTTGGATACCGTAGTTGTGTTGGAGGTTGTAGTATGCACGACAGACAGACAGATAATCCCTGGTGGGCAGTGTGGAACCTGTTGTTCCTACCTGTATTAACTTTTGAGATCAAAAGAGACCAGTAACATCCAGGTTGCTTTGCCACAAGGCAAGTTGCATTCTCTTTTATTAAAAATCCCATTATTTGTAAAACCAGTGATGGACATTACAAGTTGCAGCAACACAACGGTGTGATGTGAATCCTACTACAGAGATGTTTATTTGTTAAAAAATATATTTCTTAAAACGTCACTGTCGCAAGAATGAGCAGTGTTTGAGAGTAAAATTAACCATTTCATTTTTTTGTATCTCTTTCATGTTTATTTCCCTCCCAATTGTACTGCGGCTGTGCTGTCCGCATCGTGAAAAATCCACGAGGAAATCTCACGGAGCAGTGCTGGGACACGTGCTAGATCATCTGAAGCGCCAGTTTTTTCTAGATTCATAAAATAACAACAGCAGACTCTTGTCCGAGATAAGAAGCCACGTTCAGAGCCAATGACGTCCCGCAACGCAATGATATCATGCCGCAATGCAATGACGTAGTAACTTTTTTGCTACTCTTAGGTTTTTTCGGTAAAGTCACGTAGGTAAAAAATTAATAATAAAATAAAATAATAATGAATGCAAAATAACTTTTTGCTGTGACGGTTCCAACTGAAGACGGAGACTTGTGTTGCCTCCGAAACGTCGTGATTTTATTTAGTTATTTTGCATTTATTATTATTTTATTATTATTTCTACCTACGTGACTTTACCGAAAAAAACTAAGAGTATGAATCCTTGCAGTCACGAAAACTTCAAATCTAGAATTAACTTTTTTGCTATCTTTTATTTTACCAGGTAAGGGCCACTAAGCTTTATAGCTATTTTTCAGTAGTGATCTGGCCACAGATGATAGCTCAATGAAGTGGCTTATGTAGACATTTATAGAAACCAAATACTCTAAACGCGTATTTCCAAATGTGGAGGTAAAAACCGGAGGACCCGGAAAAAAAACCACGCGACCCACGGGGAGAGAGACACCGCAAACTCCAAATATACAGCAGGCATCAGGGTCGGGATCGATCCCACGACCTCCTGTATACCGGGCGAGGAAGTTAGCATCTCGCCACCACGGCGCCCCGTCGTAATACACACGTCATGTGACTTCCTCAACAGCAGGGACAGCGTTCCATCGTATATACCGGCACGTTTCCCACCGGGGAACATCGCCACGTCGAGGCGACCGTGGTGGCGGGGAGAAGCTCCGAGCGGCGGCGGCGTCACAGCTCGTTCTTGTGCCGCGTGGCCCGGATCTCCCGGTACGCCACCCTGCGCTCGGGTTTGTACTTGAGCAGGGAGGCGTAGCGCTGCAGGAGGCTCCGCCAGTAGCAGGAGACGTCCTCCATCCTCAGGTGATCCAAGATGAACTTCTGCCCCCTGAGAGTGGAAAGAACAATTTCAACAAGATTTTAAATCAGCCCAAAAAAATATATGCAAGTTTGTTCTCCTATAACGTGTTGTATTCATAACGTGAATTGGATATAACGCGATGAATGTATTTGGAGAACACGTTTTTTTTATCACACGGATGTGAATTGGATACAACGCAATTGAGTGAATAGAACTAAGTCACGCGAGTTTCAATAAGCGGTTGTACGGTTGCCTTGGCGTAGTATTACACAAGGTGGGATGCTGCTGGATGCTTATCGATGCTACCCACGCACCGCAGTCTTTGTTCAGCCTGCGTACGCATCTCGCGTTTTGCCATGGACTGCGCTTTACACTATACAATTTATCATAAGGTAATCTTTCCACAGTGCGGTGTTCTTCAAGGAACGCAACTACCGCGTCATAGGAGAAGACTGTAGTTATGTGACGTCATCTTCCAAGGTTCATTCCGTGACACAGGGTGGCGTGCGGTGCCAGCTGCAGATGTGGCTCTGCGTGGAGGGGTGTTCATTCGTGACAACACGACTCGCAAAGCAGAAATGCAGTCAGGGTTTTTGTAAATGACCCATTCAAGGAGTTGGCCAAATATCCGAATATTGAACCATAGCGCTTGGGCCTTTGTTGGCACCGGTTCGGGCTGCCTTCCTGTTTGTACGTTGAACTTCTTTCGCACCGTACGAAACCAACCGCGCTATTCGAAGGTGCGAGGGAAGGACAACAAACTAATCACAAAAAGCAGTTCGAAAGAAATGAGTTTGTCAATGTAGATGATTTAAAAGTGCATAGCTCCAGTGGCTTCCTAATATCGGAAGAGCGTTCCAGACGGCCGCACAAGCGCATCTGAACGCGCACGATGCAGTCACCGTCTTTGTTCAATTGCTATCCAAAAGCCGCTGCGAAGATGACCGGAGTTCACACGATGGTCGATGCTTCTTGATGAGATCAGCAAGATATTGCGGTTCATTTGTGGCAAGCAATTGGTGTGCAATGATTGCAACCTGCTGTGATTTCTCGCGCCTCTGAATCGTTCCCCCTCTCCGAGAGTGAAGGCAAGCTGCACACGTTACGTCCACGTTACGAATTGACGCTGGGAATGGACTTTGTCGTCGGTGTATGGGGAAAAAATGAATGCGCTCACCTTTCGGCAATTTCCCGTGCGACATCATCATTGTTCTTCACAAACTCCAAGACCTCCCTGAAATAAATGGGGGGAAAAGAACGTGCTTGCGTGTTCATGCCATGAGATGATGCCGACACAACGCATGGTTTGTAATGAGATGAGATTTAGGCCAGTTGGAGCTGCCAAAGCATGCAAGCAAGAGATTTTACGCGAGATTGTTGTCCGTGTTCTTGATCAACTATTTTTTATTTTGCCAGGTAAGGCCCACTTGGTCACAAATGATAGCTCAACGTATGTTGAACTGTATGTTGAACTTCTTTTGCACCGTACGTAGTCAACCGTGCTAATCGAAGTGGCTCATCATGTGGAAATGTACAGCAGTCAAATACTCTAAACACACGTTTCTAAATATGGAGGGAAAAACTGAAAGACGCGGAGAAAAATCCAGGCGACCATGGGGAGAGAGAGACACGCAAACTCCAAATATACAGCAGGCGTCCGGGTCAGGTTCAAAACCACGACCTCCTGCATACCAGGCGAGGCAGTTAACATCTCCTAGCCAATGTGATGATGATGAGAGAGACACCACAAACTCCAAATATACAGCCGGCATCAGGGTCGGGACCGAACCCACGACCTCCTGTATACCAGGCGAGGCAGTTAACATCTCCTAGCCACCATGTTTGATGATGAGAGAGACACCGCAAACTCTAAATATACAGCAGGCATCAAGGGTCAGGATCGAACCCGCGACCTCCTGCATACCAGGCGAGGCAGTTAACATCTCGCCACCGTGGCGCCCTCAAACCCCTTCAGCGTTGCTGGCGACCGTTGCGTGTGCGTCTCTCTCTCTCACCGGACGTCGGAGAGATCCTGCTGCACGGGCACGTAGTGGACCCAGGGCTTCAGCTGCTGGTAGAAGAACTCATGCCAGTCGTCGCCTACGTGTAGCACGAGTGAGCCGCACAGGAAGAGGTGCTTGTAGCGGAAGCTCGCCGCCACGCCGCGGAAGTTGAACAGGTACCTGCGCGCACGTCAACAACGCCGTTCGCTCTCTCACTCTCCCTCCCGTTACTTCGCCAGCGAAAAATAAGTTACACACCTTCCCGTGTGTGTGTGCATGCGTGCGTATGGATGTTGAACTTCTGTCCCACCGTACGTAGCCAACCGTGGCCAATCGGAGGTGCGGGGTAAGGACATCAATACGGGGAAGACAACAAGACTTTGTTAAGGGCACACTGGGGTTGAGTGTAAGGGGACACGGGACCACGGCCATAGAAGTACAGGAAAACCTTTCCCAACGCGGCTCAATCGAATGCATCTTTCAGCTCTTCACGGTTTACCTTGAGGCCTGTTTTCAGGAACACGGGGGTGGCAGAGCCATCCATAGAGGGGGCCTGAGGCAAATCATGCCGTTTGGCCACCCCTCCCACCACGCCTTCAAACTAAACCAGAAATATTACATTTGAGACCCATCCCCTTATCTCACGGAGAGGGTCCTTGCCCATTAACAAACGTGATCTGACCACCTTTTCCCGGTCGCTCGCTCCCTCAACCCCGTAGCGACCCTGAGGGTCGCGTACTTACGGCGGCGAGTTTCAGCCGGCCAATAAACTCGGCGTCAAACTCGTTTCTTTGTTGCGTTCTGCTCCCCCACCCCCCCCCCCCCGCGCCACTGTCTTGAGATGTCACGTCGCTCCGGCATGAAAGGCCAGGAGTCACCGGCGCAACTTCACAACAACCCTTTATAGTAATAGGTTTTTACCCTTTCAACTGGTACAAAAACTGACACCTTTATACAAGGCATCCTGTTTGCAATAACCACAACACAAGCAGTCAAAACGCAAACAAAAAGAAACAACTCTGATAATGGTAATAATGAGTGGAGTTGTACGCCTTTTGGCGTCATCTGGTCCAACATCAATGGAGACTAGGCTCTAAGAAAAGCTGTCTCGGGTGTGGACCAATCAACGTCAAGGACAGTGCATATCATTATCAGAGTTGTTTCTTTTTGTTTGCGTTTTGACTGCTTGTGTTGTGGTTATTGCAAACAGGATGCCTTGTATAAAGGTGTCAGTTTTTGTACCAGTTGAAAGGGTAAAAACCTATTACTATATTTTGCCACTGGTAAAAGAGATGTCTCATAGAACAACCCTTTACATACAAGCTCACTGTGAACGCTGTCTACAACAGATGAGTTTCTCACCCGGCCGTCCCCTGCACCACCGCGCCCGCACCTCCACTCCCATCCGCCCGAGCCCCGGGTAACCGCGCATATGGCTACGACTGTTTTTTTCCGACAAAACTCAAGGACAAAATCGCTCGCGACCCTTAAACTATCCCTGCTATGACCTGACTATGCATCTGCGTCACGCAACTTTATCGTATTTTACCATCACTATATATATGAATCAACACAAGCCGACTGAAGAACAAATATGTATTCATATGAACGTTACCCACATGTAAACATATCACTTGCTGTCCCTTCACTAAATGTATTTGCTCACGAACCGATGTTGATCTTATTTACAGACGTTATATTAGCTTAAATAACCGTATGAGTAATTATGTTAATATCAATGTCAACTTACTCGATCAGCCCTGCAAACAATTCTTCCCGACTGCAAAACTCACTACCACCAATTACGTACAGGGACTCCTCTACTTACGAACATTCGACTTACGAACTTTCAGAGATATGAACACACCTGTCCGAATGTCCAGTTGCCTGTTTGGATATAGTCGTAAGTTCAACCGCCACGCATTAGATGGTGGTGGTGGCATCTACATCTGCAGAACGTGAAGAACCAGTGGCATCTACGTCTGCAAGAGATTATACAACTTTTAAAGCCATTCCCCGTGTTTAGTGTACACGCCGTACAACGTGCTCGGAATCGACAGGAGTAAAGTTGGACTTACGAACAATTCTACTTACGAACAGACCTCTGAAACCCAACTCGTTCGTAAGTAGAGGATTCCCTGTATTCGCTACAATTACTAACGATTGAACAATTCCGATTGTGGGCCGCTGATTCACTGGGCCACATCACTGATGAATCGGCACAGTCTACCAACCACCCCAACGCAAGCAAAAGATACCGACTGCTTAATCGTTCACAGCTCGGACGTGGCTGTGCATGCGGCGTGGTGTGAGGCTGTGGGGTGCGTCACTTCGTTACTTGTACTGGCAGTGGTCAACCAGGCCGATTTCCTTCGTCGGTGGCATTCCCAGCGTGTCCTCGAGTGGCAACAGAAAGGTATGGCACAAAGGCGTTCGTGTAAAGTTAACAATCATCAGTTTAACACGTAGCAGGCTTTCACTTCCAATATTATCCATAACACTCGTCAACACACTTTTTCTGGCATAAGGTATTCTCCAACGGGTTGAAGGTAATTTTGGGGTGCTGATTCCAAATCTGGCATCAGTTTTTGTCTGTCAGGTTTTTGAGATATCAAATATTGCATTTTCAATAAAAACTGCAGAAGAAAAATATTAAATAAATGTGGATATCTACATAAAATGATATTATAACCACACTATCCTAAAAATACAGCACCATATTTTAACACTAAAGCAGTCACTGACTCGCAACAACTTGCAATCATAAGTGACAGAGTTAATTTCAGGTAAAATCAATGAAAATGGGGTATGCCGATAGCATAAAAATGATGTGATAGAGCAAATCTGAGATCAGATTTGGAATCAGCACCCTGAAATTAGTCTAAAACAGCTGCAAAAGTCCAGGCCAGAAAAAAATGTTTTTTTTTTGTTGACCAGTGTAATAGAGGTTTTTTTGGGTTGGATCGCGTAAATATGACAGCGTGATAAATATAAACAGGAGTATTTCTCCACAGATCTGGCTGTCGCCTGATGATGCTAGTTGCAATTCCCTTCGACACGTCACGGTACTCGAATTGTAAATGTTGTGGGTTTACTCTCCAACACACCGGTGTGCTGTACTAGTAGAGAATTGGCACGTTCTGTTGACGTGATAAATCTTACTAGTTGGCTGTGTCGGGCGGTGGCGGGTTTAATGACACATTTATATTCACGCGATCTAACCACAAAAAAACTCTATTATGGTGAAAATAATCATTGTACTCTCATGATAACAATTCTTATAATGATACTTGCAAACATGTTGCGCCCACAATGGAACGAAGCGTCTCATAATGCAGTTGTTTAGCCTACAGGTCACACGCAAGCGGTGTTCTTCATTGCAAGAACCCGCGGGCCACTGGCCGTCCCTGGTGGCCCTTTGGTACGGCCCCTGATGTGCAGCCCCCCCCCCCGACAATACACAAATGGTGAAAACACCCTCCATCATCACCATCATCATCGTGCTGCTGTCAAACCCCCAATGGCTTCAAATGCGTGGTGGCTGCCCTCACACTGATGATGATGTCTTATCGGCAAAAGTGCCCCCCCCCAGCCCCAGCCCAGAGGTCGCAAACGGGTTTTGATTCCGTACCCGTACCCGGCCGCACCAGGGTCGCAAATGGGTACCCGTACCCGTACCCAGCCGGGTACGGGTACCCGTTCCCTACCCGTACCCTACCCGAAATGAGTGACAAACGGTTACTCACCAGTGACTCACGGCCTACCCGTACCCGTACCCGGCCGCACCAGGGTCGCAAACGGCTACCCGGCTACCCGTACCCGGCCGGGTACAGGTAGCCGGGTATCGGGTAGAGTACGGGTATCCGGTTGCGACCTCTGCCCCAGCCCATCTCAAAATGAGTGAAGAAACGCTGCACGAGAGGCAGCTGTCTCTGTGTGGCACAAGGTGAACACAGCGACGGCCTGCAAGGCGCCATCTGTTTCCCCAGTCGCTTTGTAGCTTTGACCAACTGAGTAGTCGGCGAGTTGCACAATTCAAACGTGGACAACGTCTCACCGTTTTTTTTTTCGAATAGCGTCACGGGGACCCTTGACGTCCACTGTGATGTTTAGGCACAAAAAACAAAAGAAGCCGATTGGAGTTTTTAGTCGAGACACCGACTTCGTTGTCCCCAGCTCAAAACCATCCAACCGGCTCCCTGGCTCGGTGGTGGGGCAAGCGGTTTCGCAATCGCAAGGTTTGCGAGTTCAAATCCCGAGTTGGGGCGGTTGACTCATCCCTTCCTCCAGGGTCGATAAAATAGGGGCCACTTTGTGAGGAAGTCCAACAGTGGTTGTCCTGTGAATAGACTCGCCCCTGCCGAGGGAATGAGGAATGTCCACCACTGGCTGGGCAGGGCTGCGAACGGGAGGTCACCACCGATGCCTCGATGCTCTTTTGAGCGCAGGAAATCACTCTGACTCTGTGAGGTGGCTGAGGGCGCAGGCTCCAGTCCGCACCTTGTCCGACTTCCACGCCTGGTTTTTGGTGTAGGCGGCATCCACGAGTTTTGGCTCGCGCCGAGACAGCAGCACCAGGGGGTCTCGCTCCGCACTCGTCCTGCAACAGCAGCAGCAGCAACAGCAGCAACAGCAACAACAGCAGTAGCAACAACAGCAGCAGCAACAACAGCAGCAACAGCAGCAACAGCAGCAGCAACAACAGCAGCAGTAACAGCAGCAACAGCAGCAGCAACAGCAGCAGTAGAGTAGCAGCAGTAGTAGCAATAGTAGCAGCAACAGCAGCAGCAACAGCAGCAACAGCAGCAGCAACAGCAGCAGCAACAGCAGCAGCAACAGCAGCAGCAACAACAGCAGCAGCAACAGCAGCAACAACAGCAGCAAGTCGGTCAATCTGAACGCGCGTTCAGTTCCCCGTGGCTTTTGAAATTGTCAATCGTAATTTATTTTTGGGTTAGCCCACATTATGAACATAAATGTGCCCTTAACTCACCACCACCACCCGACACCGCCAATTAGTAAGGTTTGTCACGTAAACAAAACGTGGCAATTAATGTTTAAATCCACGTGGTAACCTAGAACCATATAAAAGACCTTTCTAAACTCATTGATCTAAACAATCTGGTTTCCAAGAGTAACAAGCGAGCGTGAACCAATTCTGTCATGCACGCGGAGCGTCCGTTGATTCTTTTTTATTCGCTTGCAGTTACCAGCTAGTTAGGATGATACCTCACAATTTGGACACTTGGTTCAAATATTGATGCTCATTTTATGCATGCAATTATTTCTCAGAAACCATGTTTGGGTCAGCCAAGGCAAAATCCACCAAAGGAGCACAGTAACCAAAAAGTCTGAGAACCACTCGTGTGATGCACTCAAAACTCACTGATTGTTTCCGAGCTCACCCACGACCCCTTAATCTCCCACTCATAACCGCCACCGTTATTTTTCCCTCTTCATATTCACATTATATGGCTTTCACTCATTAACCCCCGTTCATTCAATCCATTCATCATCACTTACCGTCATCAAGTTTGCTTTCACCCAATTCATGCAGCATCGCCACAGATTTGCCCCAATGCTTCCTCCCATCTATTTCATTCCACCTCATCTCCACCACTGCATTCGTACGTCGCACCGTTGTTCATTCTGCGTAAAGCGCCTTGGACAAGGGCGCTGTACAAATCCCTTTAAGAGAAGATACGACCGTAAGAACCGTGATTTGTCGCCGTATCGCAGTTACCCACCTGGAGCCGCGGAAAAACCCCCGAGTCTTCTTCTTCTCCCAAGGCCACCGTGCTGCGGTCCTGACAACAGTTTTTTGATGAACGTTAAGGCGAGAGAAGAGCCGGTGAGGTCAGATGTGTGCACGCACACACACACACGTGCACAACAACAATAGCGGCCGCTGTTCGCCACTAAGCTTCCCACACACACCTCCCCGCCACGCTGCCCCCCCCCTTCATTATTTTATTAAGAACGAGTCGCTCCCTATTGTCTGGCAGTCTCCTGCCTCGAGTGGAAGACTCTCCACCCTTCGAGGCAACTGCAGCTTGGACCAGTCCACTGAAGGTCCTCCCCTATTCCAGAGAGGTCCAGGCGGTACCCGGTCCAGCTCTCCCCGACAGGGGATTGGCAGCCTCTCCTCCTCCTCCTCCTCCGCAGCAGCAACAGCAGCAGCAACAGCAGCAAGTGTTCGGACTTTCCCCACGTGGCCAACCGCAGTGGTTTCCGGCTGTTTCTCGAGGAAAAAGCCTGAGGTAGGGGGCATAGTTCAGTCTCCTGGCTCCACAAAACAGGGTCGCAGTAGGAGATGTTATAGGTGCCCGTCCTCCCCTGCGAGCCCGCACTGGCCTCTGCAGTTGCTGTGAGCATGCTGCGAGGGTAATGGCTGCTTAGCATCAGCCTTTCAGCCTCCACAGCACACCACAATGTTGCGAGCGAGGAGATTACTTTTTTTCCCAAACAAAACACACGCACACGTGCGTGCACACACGCGTGCACACACACACACACAACAGACAAGGATTCCTCCGTATCGCCTTAACAGACTGTTGGGGCAAGTGCTGTTAGCGTGTAGCACCTATGAAGGGCGGCACGGCACATGAGCGGGTGTGTGGCCAGCACCACGACCGGCCTTCTTTTTCTCCCTCGTGGCCATGTTTATACACCGCACCAGGTACTCATATGAGGCCGAGTCGACCTAGGGGAGGCCCAGGACCGGTTCAAATAATCGTCAATGGTGTTGGCCATGAGCAGGAATCACAACTCAGATCGCCGGGTTCGTAGCACAACACACTTATCGCTGCGCCACAGCTCAAATGCACTCACACACATGCCTAAACACGAACAGCTGCAATTCGCCACAGCGCTTGTGCCAGGCTAGATGTACTTCTGAGGCCACATGAAGTGTGCTAGGCTTGCTGGCAAGTCATGGGACAGACCCACGTGTTATGGATCAGATGATTGACAAATACACCACCTGCGCTCCCCAATTGCTGCGTTTTACCGCCCGTCGCTCCGCTCATTGTTGTGAGTATCGCTCCTCCACACTCCGTTGCTGTTGACGGGCGGCAGCCTCCAACTACCCAGTAGCGTCCTTCACGAGCCTGCTCCACAGAGGCCGATCTTGACACCACTGGGACCGGTTATTGGTCCACTTAGCTCCACATCCTCCTGTACCGCGTCAGCCCAACTCTACCCGTGCCGCACCCGTCTAGCTCCTCTCTATCCACACGCACGCGGCACATGGCACGCACTTGCTTAGGTCGTCTCTCATGAGGTCCCAGCGTCCAAGCCCCGTAGGGTAGAGGGGCCACACGGCAGGGCCGCCCTCCCAGAACGTCCACGCCGGGTACATGATGTCCCGGTACTCCTTTGTCTGTCACGCACAGAGTCAGACGGAGGAAAAGAGACGTAGCAGAACACACGATAATTATTGGTGATATTGTGGAGGATTTACAAAATCAAAATCTTTATTCATACTGGAGGAATCCGATGAGCTATAAAGCTTTTTTTCACCGATGTCCAGTTTATAATCAGACCCCACACTTCCTTCCATTACCTGTCCCTTCAGACACACAGCCTCCTGGGATTGCATTATTTCAGCAGCATTGGTTCAACAGAAGCTGGAGCCGGTGTGAACCTACAGTATTTCATCAGCAGCGTAGCAGCGTCAGGCTTGCTTGATCCAATGCTTGTGAACTGCCAAATTTTTATTGGCAAGGACCCTCGCTGTTTAGATTGTGGGACACATACGGGGAGGCCGCCTATTACCTGCTCATTTTGTTACTAAAATTCCCCACGATGCTCGTGATTATTTCGCGTCACGTGTTCTACAGTTTTGCATCTCACCAGGACCCACGGCTAGCAGAGAGGGCGCGTCTTTGCCTGTAAACATAAGTTCGCAAGCGCTGTGGCTCAAGCGAGTTTGACCCACGACCTCGTTTCCCATGGCAACGCCACACGATCGCCGGGCGCCTGCGCCGCACCTTGCTGAAGGAGAAGACGGGACGCAGCGGCATCCATGCCGGCACCTGCGGGTAGTCGCGCACGTTCACCACCAGCTCCATGTCCGGCAGCTCCGGCAGCAACTCCAGCAGGAAGTGTTCAACCCCGCTGCACCTGGGAAATGAGAGAGACAGAAACGGCTCGACCGACAGCACCAGCAGCTCCCGTGGCTCTCTCCAACTCCTCTTTGTGCATCTTTCTCACCTCTGTCAGCCATTCTAAATTCAGTTTAACACATAGGCTTGCGGGAGCAATATCATCCGTAATACAGTTTTTTTGGGTTAGATCGCGTAAATATACGTCATTAAACCCGCCACCACCAGACACAGCCAATTAGTAAGGGTTGTCATGTAAACAGAACGTGGCCAATTCGTTATTAGTACAGCACACCGGTGTGTTGGAGAGCAAAGCCATAACATTTACAATCCGAGTAAATGTTGTGGCTTTGCTCAGATTGAAATGTTGCGGCTTTGCTGCCCAACACACCAGTGTGCTGTACTAGTAACGGATTGGCACGTTCTGTTATTGTAACAAACCTTACTAATTGGCTGTGTCGGGTGGTGGCGGATTTAACGACACATTTATATATTTACGCGATCTAACCCAAAAAAACCTCTATTATGGATTATACATTCTTATAAAAACACTCAGAAGACGCCATCCTCTTTCTCTCTTAAGCTATTTTTCCCTCACCCTATCCTTCCCAATCTCCCCCTTTCGATAAACTCAGATGCACTGAGTGGGACTTATGTCTCCGCGGAGTTTCTATACCCCCTCCCTACGTCTCTGTACCACGCTCCGATTGAAATATAATAAATACATTTTTAAAAAACACTCAGGAGACAAGAAGCCTTCTTCACATATCTGTCCCGCCACGTGAAAGTATAAAAGTACATTTGTTTACACATCCCATCATCCGCACGGCCTTCTGGGAGTTCACAATTTATGCGGCAGTGGTTCAAAATCAGGGGGGGGCGATATGCGCAAGCACGTTGGCGGTAACGACGGTATTGTAATAATACTTATATTAATTGCACCCACGTCCTGAAGTGCAGTTGTCTGTCCTGATTGACGCCGGTCCCTGCGCAACACCGGGTGACCACTGGCTGTAAGTGGGAATTGGTCTGCCAGTAGGGGGCTATACGTTGCTATTAGTTATTTTAATAAAGAACTTTAGTAATTGTGCACATTCGCATTGTGACACCGGCACACGAGGCCAACTACTCTCCGTCAAATATCCTTGCGGAAGGTAGGTTCACGTCTCCTCCGGGTGAAGGGTACAGCGCGTAGTATATCACAGACAATGCCCCCGCAAGTATCAACTAGAACGACTGCCGTACGTACGTACGTTGAACGTCTTTGGCGCCGTACGTAGCCAACCGTGCTAATCGGAGGTGCTGTGTTTGAACCAGAGGTCGCAACCGGGTACCCGATACCTGTACCCTACCCGATACCCGGCTACCCGTACCCAGCTGGGTACGGGTAGGGTATGGGTATCGGGTACCTGATTGCGACCTCTGGGATTAAACCATGTTGAAGGCGCGGGTGGGTTGATTCTAGGAACTTGAATTGTGAGAAGAGACAAGACGTTGGGAAATGAGTGACAAACGGTTACTCACCAGTGACTCACGGTCTACCCGTACCCGGCCGCACCAGGGTCGCAAACGGGTACCCATACCCGGCTGGGTACGGGTATCGGGTACCCGGTTGCGACCCAGCCGGGTACGGGTAGGGTACGGCCGGGTACGGGTAAGGAATCAAAACCCGTTTGCGACCTCTGGTTTGAACCACTGGCCTCTGCAACGAGCGGCGAGACGCGCCACCGCACGGCCCGCGCACGCACGCTCACCGAGCGGAGAACATGCACGCGTCCTCGCGGTACAGCCGGTGGGCTAACACCTGGTAGTGCGTGCCGACGCCCCGTGCCACCATCTCCTTCACGTCGGCCTCTGCGATCCCCCCGCTGAACGGGGCGAGGTCCGACTCCAGCACCCTGGGGGCCACCGGGAAGTCGGAGAAAAAGATTTACAAATCCAACTGCGTAGCCCGGCGATCGTTGACGGTTTGCATCTTTTCGTGCAGCGTTGATCGTGGATGTTCCCGTTCAACTGTTGACATTGACCATAATAAAGTTTTTTTTTTGGGGTTAGATCACGTAATTGTGTCATTAAACCCGACACCACCCGACATAGCCAATTAGTAAGGTTTGTCACATAAACAAAACATGCCAATTAGTTACTAGTTCAGCACACCAGGTGCTTTGGAGAGTAAACTCACAACATTTACAATCGGAGTACCTTTCGCTGGTGATTGCAACCAGTTTTATCAGGCGACAGCCAGAATTGTTGAACCGACATTAGCATTGTCCCACTGACCAATACATTTTCCTCCTCTTCCCCTTTTTCCATTTACCAACAGCAACGATTTGCAGTCAATGGAGAAACAGAACAAAAATAGAGGCCATTATCTGAAATGTAACGCAAGCACACATAATTAACACGCCGTTTTTTTACAATGTCATTAACCGATTGCCACACACTCAATGCCAATTTAATCTCAGTTGCACTGTCGGGGCGCGTCACGTCCCGCGACGAACGATCCAAGCGTGTTCGAGAACGGTCCGCAGAGGCGGGGGGTGGGGATCTCAGAGAACTACTTCTGAGGCCTTCGAGTCACGCAACCTATTACGCCGACAGGTCGATCCGTCCCGCGACAAGTCCATTCTCGAGGACTATGAGCTCAGGAGTGGAGGACTGGCTCCACCTCCTCTCAGGTGGGGTGGAGCGGAAGGAGGGGGGTGCCCAGTAGAGCCACGAGAGTAACGCACTGGCTACGGAGACAGAACTCGACCGGGGAGGGGGGGCGGCCGAGCGGATATTTCTTCGCCAGCCATTGCCCAACGCTTCCTCACCCGCGATGGCACGAGCAGTTTTGCTGCACGCACGGCTGGTACTCGTGCAGCGCCGTCGTCACCACGCGCAGGCGATGCTCCCACCGGGAGCCTGGGGCGGCAGCGGACAAAGCAGCCACGCAGAGCAGCTGGGAAGAACAAACTCCACGCGGGAAGGACGCTCCAGTCGAACCCAGGTGTTCTGGCCACTGCGCCACCGTGCCAATCAAGGTGGCTCACACCGAGTTAGTTGTTTACCCGCTGGCTTTACATTTTGGCCCGATATTTTCCTGAGCAACGCCGGGCTGTTTCGGAGTCGTAATTGTCGGCGTAAGGCACTACCACTAGAGCACAAAAGACACGTGTCAATAATAATCCCCGATATTTCTGTTTGTTAAAACACTTTTTTTTTGCATTCCCGGAAAGCACATTACAAACGGTTAAAGCGGATCGCCACACATGTAGCCGTTGACTAGGGAGCAGTACACGCAAAACGTCCACCTTGGCAAACGAAAAACGCCGGAACCTGCAAACCAGTGGTCACCGGGAGCGGGGATCGAACCGGTGTCCTCAACGACCGCGCTTCTCAAATCCCCCAAAACCCTCCACCACCGGCACTATACCATGGCTACACGGCAGTCGATCGGCGGGTCACGTGTGGTGGGGTAAAGCGTGGGTACATCCACCTCTTCCAACGTTTGTTTGGCAGCATGGAAGAGTAGGCCAAACACTCGCTGGCGTTCTCTCGAGTGGAGGCTCTTTCGCCAGCAGCGGCGAGTGGCCTGGTGAAAACTCGAGACAGCAAGGAGTGGCTTGGCGCACCATGACAGCAAACAAGAGACTGTAGGGCCGCACCTTTATCTTTGTAGGGCCGCACCTTTATCTTTACAGGGCCTGCCACCATGCCGTTTGTTATATTCGCGCGCGCCAATCGGTGAATTCATTGCTCATGGAACCCACTGCCGATCCCCGAATTCCGGAACCATTTCTGATAACGGTTACCGGTTTACTGGTTGTCGTTTTAACTATCATCAGCACGCATTTCACCGTTTTATAGCAGCTGATACACACACACACGATACAGTAGTTAATGGATGTAATTCATCATCAGCCATGATCCAGCCACTGCTGGATAAGGGACAACTCCGTGCTGTGTCGTTGAGGGTTTTATCTGGTAAGGGGCCGTCCATAAATGACGTCACGCGATTTTGGATGATTTTTGACCCCCCCCCCTCTCTCGTCACACGGCGTCACAAAAGGTCAGACCCCCCCTCAAATGACGCCACAAGGCTCTGATCCCCCCCCCCCCCAGGTGCGTGACGTCATTTATGGCCGGCCCCTAAGTTGAAAAAAAGTTTATTTTAATTGTTTTACCTTTCCTATCCTCTGCACTCCTATCGTGTTTTTTTGTATCGTATGTGTTGATGTAACGTCCCGACACCTGTGAAAAGGAGGTTTAACAGCTCATCGAATTGCTTCAGTATAAATATTCACAATTTAGTTTGGCCATACCCATCAGTGCGGGCAGACTTCACACATCACTAGCCACTGATGTTAGCCGGGATTCACGGAGTTAGCGCTGCAAGACAAAGATCCCCCGTGTAGCCTGCAACAGACTGCAGGGGCAAGTGCTGTTAGCGAGCACCTATGAAGGCCGGAACGGTACACGAGGGGGTGGGTGGCCAACACCACGCCCGGCCGCCTTTGTCTCCCCCCAGGTACTCATTTGAGGCTGAGTCGACCTAGGGGAGGGCCAGGGACCGGTTCAGATAATCGTCACCGGTGTTGGCCGTGAGCGGGAATCGAACTCGGGTCGCCGGGTTCGTAGCGCAGCGCGCCAATCGCTGCACCACCGCTCCCCTGTACAAAGATCCCCCGGGTAGCCTTCACAGACTGCTGCGGCAAGTGCTGCACCTATGACGGCCCGCACCATCCCCAGACCGCAACCATCACCACCATCACCAATATTAAAATCAACACCATCACCACCAACATCATCAACACCATCAACACCATCATCACCATCACCAACATCACCAACATCATCAACACCATCATCACCACCACCACCATCATCCCCCACCATCGCAAGAAGCCGGCGCAGGAAGCAAAGAGGCAATGAAGGTAGCGACGAGGAGCGAAGCGAAGACGCTTCGTGTCGCCATCTTCCTGCTCCTCCCCCACAGGAAGAGGGCGGGGGGAGTGGGGGCGGGGGAGCGGAGAAAGTGGGCGGGGGGATCGGGGGGAGTGGGGGGAGTGGGCGGGGGGGAGTGGGCGGGGGGAGCGGGGAGTGGGCGGGGGATCGGGGGGGAGTGGGGGGAGTGGGCGGAGGGAGTTGGGAGGGGGGGGGAGCGGGGAGTGGTGCGGGTGGATCGGGGTGGGCGGGGGGAGCGGAGGAAAGTGGGCGGGGGATCGGGGGGAGTGGGGGGGAGTGGGCGGGTGGGGGAGTGTGGCGGGGGGATGCGGGGGGAGTGGGGAGTGGAGGGGGGGAGTGGGTGGAGTGGGCGGGGGGAGTAGGGGAGTGGGGCGGGGGGACAGGAGTGTGGCGGGGGGTAGTGGGAGTGGGCGGCGGGGGAAGTGGGCGGGGGGCGGGGGGAGTGGGCGGGGGAGTGGGCGGGGGATGGGGAGTGGGAGGGGGGAGTGGCGGGGGGGAGTGGGCGGGAGGGAAGTGGGAGGGGGGAGTTGGGGTGGGCTAGGGGGCGGGTGGGATGGGCGGGGGAGCGGGCGGGGGGAGCCTGAGTGGGCGGGGGGAGTGGGGAGTGGGCGGGGGGAGTGGGCGGGGGAGTGGGCGGGGGGCGGGGGGAGTGGGCGGGGGGAGGGGGGGGGGGGGAGTGGGGAGTGGGCGGGGGGAGTGGGCGGGGGGAGTGGGAGTGGGGGGGGGAGTGGGCGGGGGAGGGGCGGGGAGTGGGGAGGGCGGGGGAGTGGGCGGGGGGAGGGGGGGGAGGGGGGGGGGAGTGGGGAGTGGGCGGGGGGCGGGGGGAGTGGGCGGGGGGGAGTGGGCGGGGGGAGTGGGCGGGGAGGGGGCGGGGGGAGGAGTGGGCGGGGGGAGTGGGGAGTGGGCGGGGGGAGTGGGCGGGGGGTGGGCGGGGGGGCGGGGGGAGTGGGCGGGGGGAGTGGGCGGGGGGAGGGGAGTGGGCGGGGGGGGGAGTGGGCGGGGGGAGTGGGCGGGGGCGGGGGGAGTGGGCGGGGGGAGTGGGCGGGGGGAGTGGGGGGAGTGGGCGGGGGGAGTGGGCGGGGGGAGTGGGCGGGGGAGTGGGCGGGGGGCGTGGGTAGTGGGCGGGGGGCGGGGGGAGTGGGCGGGGGGAGTGGGCGGTGGAGCGAGTGGGCGGGGGGAGTGGGGCGGGGGGAGTTGGGCGGGGGGGAGTGGGGAGTGGGCGGGGGGAGTGGGCGGGGGAGTGGGGAGTGGGCTGGGGGGGGGAGTGGGCGGGGGGAGTGGGGGTGGGCGGGGGTGGAGTGGGCGGGGGGAGCGGGGGTGGGCGGGGGAGTGGGATGGGGGGCTGGGCGTTGGGCGGCGTGGGAGTGGGCGGGGGGGAGTGGGCGGGGGGAGCGGTGGCGGAGCGGTTAGCGCTACGCTGCGCTTCGAACCCCTGCGAGCCGGAGTTCGAGTCTCGCTCACGGCCACCAACACTGGTGGACGATTATCTGAACCGGTGCTGGGCCCTCCCCTAGGTCGACTCAGCCTCGAATGAGTACCTGGTGCGGTGTGCGTAAACATCGCAACCGGGGAGGACAAGGCGGCCGGGCGTGGTGCTGGCCACCCACCCCCCATCGTGTGCCGTGCCGGCCTTCATAGGACAACAAACTAAGCACCAAAGCAGTTCTAAATCAATGCGTTTCCAACCTCGATGATTTCAAAGTTGCATAGCTCCAGCGGCTTCCTAATACCGGACGGAAGAGCGTTCCAGACGGCCGCAGAAGCGCTTCTGAAAGCGCCACGCGATGCGGTGACCGCCGTCTTTGCTCGATGACCAGCAGCCAAAAGCCGCCGCCGCTGCTGCTTCTGCGAGGATGACGAGCGGAGTGCGCGTGATGATGATTCATTCTCCTTGACGAGATCAGCGAGGGTGTGGTGGTTCATTTGTGGCAAGCGCTTTGGGGCCGTCCATAAATGACGTCACGCGATTTTGGATGATTTTTGACCCCCCCCCCCCTTCGTCACACGGCTTCACAAAAAGTCAGACCCCCCTCAGATATGACGTCACAAAGCTCTGCCCCCCCCCAAAAATAAAACATGCTTCAAATCGCTTTAAACTATTGTCATTGTAGTGCGTATTTAATGTGGCGCTGCACTCTGATGTTGTAGGAGAAACATTTATTAAAAAGTCCATTTAATTAAGTAGAACGTGTTGTCTGTATTTATTTAAAGTTGCGCATTTTGATCTGACATCACATGTCTGACCCCCCCCCCCCCCCTTAGGTCCGTGACGTCATTTATGGACGGCCCCTAATGAGTGCGACCTTACAATGCAATTCGTTCAGCAACCGGTGACCAATGCAGCTCAGCGAGCACTAGACGGACACGGTCGGGTCTTGCGGTGCCCGTCACGACCACGTGCCAGAGAATGTTGTACACGATGCAGCTTGGTCATGTTTTAGCAGACGTCCCCTGTCTTAATCATCGAGCCCATGCGACACGATGATACGGCAGTGGTCGAATGTGGCTTGGGCATCCGAGTGTCTTGAGTGAGTGTCAGGTTGAGGCAGTGGACGCGTGCGCGAGCGAGTGAGTGAGCGGGCGAGAAATTAATTTGGGTTCATCTTCTTGGTCCTTTCGGTAAAGTCACGTAGAAGGGAAGTGATCAAATAATACAAATAAAACATAATAAAATAATTCTCACGACGTTTCAGACGCTGTCTCCCCGACAGACCTGGTCCTCACCTGGGGACGGCTGCTTGCGTTGTGGCCGAAACGTCGTGAGAATTATTGTATTGTTTTATTATTTATAATGTTATTACTTCCCTTCTACGTGACTTTACCGAAAGAACCAAGAAGATGAATCCCTGCAGTCACGAAAGCTTTAAATCGAAATTTAATTTGGGTTCGTTTGGAAGTGTACTCCTCCTCTGCCATTATCAGCCCCCGCGTTCTGTTTGCTTGGCTTTTTGACCCAGCTAAGCCACCATGGCCTTGGCGGGGAGGCGGGAGGAGGGCGGTGACTCTCCTCCCCCCTCGCGTCCGCTCAGCCAAAACCTCCCAACTCCAAAACAATATATAGGGTAGCAGGCCTCCATCGCGACATGTCGCTGCGTCCGTGGAAACTCCTTCTGCTTTCATCTTGCCTCCTCCTCCTCCATGCAACCACTGCAGGTATTCGCAGCGTCACCCTGTCGCTCGGAGGACGGATCGGTCCATTTCAAGCGAATGCAGCGGTGAAGTGAGACGGTGAATCACGTTGGTCTCATCAAAAACCCCGTTGTTCATTTCCCCCTTGTCATCTCGTTAAGCATGCACGGGCTACGAATGTTGAACTTCTTTGGTGCCTAAATTTCGATTTAAAGCTTTCGTGACTGCAGGGATTCATCTTCTTGGTTCTTTCGGTAAAGTCACGTAGAAGGGAAGTAATAAAATAATAAAAATAAAACATAATAAAACAATTCTCACGACGTTTTGGCCACAACGCAAGCAGCCGTCCTCAGGTGAAGAATGAGACAATGCCAAGCTAGGAGCTTATATATAAGCTGCGTGGGAGGTGGAAGAAAGAGCGCCTTAACAAAAGAATGTGCATATATGCTAAATTCCTCTTCATATGCACATTCTTTTGTTAAGGCGCTCTTTCTTCCACCTCCAACGCAGCTTATATATAAGCTCCTAGCTTGGCATTGTCTCATTCTTCACCTGAGGACGGCTGCTTGCGTTGTGGCCGAAACGTCGTGAGGATTGTTTTATTATGTTTTATTTTTATTATTTTATTACTTCCCTTCTACGTGACTTTACCGAAAGAACCAAGAAGATTCTTTGGTGCCTGTTACTCGGAGTCAAGTCAAACGTTGATTTGCTGCTCAAATTGATGCTCGTGTCTCCCGTGTAAAGCCCTGAGTCAGTAATCATATTCTTAGGTTTTTTTCGGTAAAGTCACGTAGGAAAAAAATTAAAATTAAAATTAATAAAAGTAAAATAAAAATAAAATAAAAATCACGACGTTTAGGAGGCAACACAAACTTCCGGCTTCAAATCTAGAACCCTGAGTCAGTGTTTGAAATTCCACATTCCCGTGGCGGGGTCGAGTTTCTCCATCGGACAACCATTGTTTGCATCTCCGATTGGCACGGTTGGCTACGTACGGCGCGAAAGAAGTTCCACAGACATACACTGTTGACTTTCTCCACAGTGATGCTCATGCGATGTATGCTGCTGTTATGACTTTTTGTGATATTTACTTTACGAAATATGAACTGTAAAAAAAGCCACCGAAAATCGCAACCCAATTCTAGGAGGTACAATCCAGCGCTACAGTCATTCACGTGCAGAATGTAACGGGGACTGCCTGGTTCGCGATGGCTCTGTGTGGAGTGTGATACCAAGCTCATTGGCATTACAGTAATGATTCTAGATTTGAAGCTTTCGTGACTGCAAGGATTCATACTCTTAGGTTTTTTCGGTAAAGTCACGTAGGTAAAAAATAAAATGCAAATCATTTTTTTTTTTACCTACGTGACTTTACCGAAAAAACCTAAGAGTACTACAATAATGCTCTGTGCGCTGCTAATTTTTTGAGCTTCGGGGGTACAATTTGACTTTTTTTTGGGTGGCGGGGGAATAATTTGGGGGGAAAGATACGATGGGAGGGGATTCCAAAGTCGACCAGTGCGAGGGAAGGAGCAAGAGAGGTGTTATGACCTGCAGCGTGGTGAGTGACGTGAGTATATGGGCGAGTGAACGTGTGGGAGAGTGGGCATGTGAATTGGTGAGTGTGTCAGCGGGTTTGACAGCTCCGGTTTGACAGCAGAAGTATCACTCGGATTCAGTCGGGCGGCATTAGCTTTTCATCGACTGCACAATGCTGTGTGGAAGCTACCTGGTCTGTCGCTCCCCACGAAGCTTCGAGTCTTCTCGGCCACAGTCATGCCCTCCCTTCTCCATGCTTGTGAAACCTGGACCCCTCTAATGGAACATCTGCGCCGGTTAGAAACATTCAGGCTGGCATGCCTATGATCCATCCTGGGTTTAAACAGGCT